CGATTAAGACTACCCTGAGATGTACTTGATGAGAAGTTTCCTAAGCACCCAACTAAGTTGGCAATCATCTTGTGTTTGAAGGGGTTTGGAATGGATAAGCCAGAAATACATTTATTATATTCACCCTTTCAATTTCCTAATTCCAAAGATATAGATTGATTGATTTGAAGTTGCCATTGTTTGGATTTTGGGTTGTTTCATTTTGTTTTGTTTTGCCCATGAGCATAACAACCTCGGAAAGAAAATCGGGGACATATTTGCATATGCAAAGGTATCCAAACTAACTTGGGCATCAAAGACAACAAAGACTGGTAAATATGACAGGCTGCTATAGTTACCCACGCTAATGTACTTCAGTACACTGCACTGTGCAGAACCTAGCTATTTTCTGAGCACAAAGGAAGACTTCCAGAAACATCTGACTGTAATAACAAAATAATTAGCATTTAGTTTAGCTTCTTCACAGAGGGCATCTTATTCATTTTTGTTCTGTTCAGCCCTACAGAGTAAGCATGAAAAATCCATTTCTATATAATACAGAAAGTATATTTTGCTTCAGGAAAGTAATAGTTTTAGGTGATCTTATGCAAAATTTTGAGCATAAGTCTGTTCTGTGTTACTGTATGAAGAAGCAGCAATGGAGGATGTTTGGAGACAGGAGGAGGCTTCTCATTTCTAATACTTAACCACTTCTATTTGCTCTGTAAGTCCAATAGGGAGGCCTTAATAAGAAGCATACTGACATGGCCACTGAACATTTTTCTTTACATGTTTATTTTTAAAAGCTTTCATCATTATGATAAAATTACTCACTACTTCCCCTGCATCTCCCGAGGTTTTAATGTCAGGGTTGGTTTTTTGTTTGTTTTTTATTTTCTTTTAAACAAAATCTCACAGTTAATGAGAGCCATGCACTAAAAGCATAAACATGAAGTTACCTTTTTTGCACTTTACCATGTCATTCTATTCTGGTACAATGATTTCATCTGTTAGCATTCCTTTTGAATTTTATTTTTTTCTGTGATATTAGACTGCATTTGTGGACTACTCCTTACCTATCAGGCTCCCTTTGCTATTCTCTTTTCCAGTACACTGCTGTCAGCTCACAACATCTTGTTCTTATATACACACTAAAACATTCTTTTTGCCAAACCCTCTTTTTCAGCATGTACGCCTGACTTCCACCGAAAGCAGAAGCAGGATTGTGAGTGAAATAATATATGAGAAACTATTGATAAATTGTCAGGATTAGAATATACAGCACAAATCTGTGCAACTCTGAAAGTTATGGACTTAAAGAGGAAAAAATGAAACCAGAAAATAATTCCTGTAAATGTGTGGAAGATAAGATAAAATGTTAAGACTGAAGAATGCTTTTACTCTACAGATATTACATTTAATTTATTATATTTTTCAAAACTACCATAACATTCTGTAAGCAAAAGATTCATTTTGCAGGAGAGAGAGGCATATGTCCAAAATCACAAAGAATCTAATAAAATGCCTAACCAATGTATTTCACATTTTCATAGGCAGATTTATTCTTTGATAATCACTGCAATAATCTACTCCAAACATTCTGAGTTTTGCTTAAAAAATAATGAATTTTTAGCACCATGTCCAGCTCATTAGATACAATTCTCCATATGCTTTGGCCAATTGCTTTTATAAGATGTTCATTAAAATTCCTTAGAGTTAAAGAACATTTCCAGAGATTGAAAGAGAAAAATCATTTCAGACCCTATCCAACACCAAGCTAGTCCAGATACAAAAGGCAGTATACTAGGCTGCTATTTAGGCAGTTTCCTTATAGTTCCTGAACCCCTAGTGATAACATGTGAACTTTGTTCCAAATATTTCCTTTACCTCACCAGACAGCAAAACACATTACCAAGATAAAAAATTAAATGGATAAAAAGAAATCATCAGTGAGAGTAACAATAATGAAGCTGATGAAAGGAAATGGAAGTGTAATTTCTCAAATATTCATATCTTGCTGCTATACGTGTGACAGTAATTGGTACAGAAAAGAATTCATTGCTACTGACTTCACAGCTTCTCTGTACAAATGTTGCCTCCCATCCAAGTGATAGAGTCTATTTAAGCCTGCTTTCCTCTATTAGTGAAACTAGAATATTTCAAACATCAACTTTCCAGTCAGGAACCTTCTCATTCCTACATTTCCCTTGCAATAGCAGATATTACTCATTCGATACTTTGCTGAGTAGCCACTTGTTGGCATCATTACTCTGTGCGAGATCCCCCTGGCACAAATACATACATGAAATTATACTTTCTACACAATCTCAACAGCAGTTGGTGACGAAAAGATATCTGAGATGGATAACAAAGACAGTTTTTTCATGGGTCTGAACTCACAATTTTCCATTATGAGCTCTGTTGATTCTTAAATGATACTCGCTAACACTAACCATAAAGGAAGCCAGAAAAGCACGTAACTGTCAAGATGAATGTTGACCTCCAGATGCTATCTCAAAAGTATCTGAAATTTCTAAAGCTTTAAAACTGCAGCAATACAAACCAGACTTATGGAAAGAGACACTTTATGTGTGCCATCTGAATTCTTGGTCAGACTGAGAAGACTTTTTTATTGCAATAGATCAGTTTCTTTTCCAAATATATGAGACTACTTACCAGCTGTAAATCTGTAGAGCAGTCTTCTGTGATTTCAACAGTCTCAAAAAGAATTAGATGCCTGCTTCTGCTAGTTTTATATCCATTTTGGGAAGATGTTTCCCTTAGACATCTTACACTAAGTGCCACAAAGACTTGTACAATAATCCAAAGGCAAAATAGTAACCTTCTTTTCTAGCACAAAACTAATCTAAATCCCCTCTGCCTTTTCCCAGTGGAGGCGTAAAAACAGTAAATAGGAGTAGAAATCTGCTTTGTTCCCTTAAGTGCTGGTGTTGGCTCAGGTAGAGTTAATTTTCTTCATAGCAGCTGGGATGGGGCTATGGTTTGGATTTCTGCTGAAAACAGTGTTAATAATTCAGGGATGTTTTCATTCCTGCTGAGCAGCGCTTACATGGAGCCAAAGCCTTCTCTACCTCTTGCACCACCACACCAGTGAAGAGACTGGGGTTGCACAAGGAGCTGTCAATGCTAAAAGCTAGACATGGCTTCAGGAGACTGGTTTTAAACTCTGAAGTACTTTGCTCAGTATGTCAGGGCAGGAGATTGAACCATAAAAAGCACATTTTTGTTTAAACTTTATACAAATACAAGGCTCCTCTTTAAACTTTGAAAGAAAGTTGGCTTAGTTGCTGCTTATAAACTTTGTATCAGTCCTGAATGCAAGGCTTGGAGAAAACACAGTTAGTGGTCATCTTATACAAAACTACAAAAAATACTTTGCTTTAGCACAAGGAAATGTCTGTCACTATACAGAAATTATCTGTTACTAGATTTTATCTGTAGCGGCCTTCCCTGCTATTAAAAATATTTAATGCTCTGTAACAGTCTAAACACTGCAGATTTTGCATTGTTTTTTCTGTTGTTTGGGCCACATATAACATAAAAGGCTTTGTCTAATTAATCAACAAAATCAAATAAGAACTTCCATTCTTATTTTGGTCTTTATTCAGGTAACCTTGCAGAAAAAGACAAAAACAAAAAGATAGATCTGTGACCACAAAAACTGTTATTGCAGTGGTTTAGGTTAAGTATCCCTGCCCATGGTAAGCAGCTGGAACTAGATGATCTTTTAAGGTCTCTTCCAATCCAAACCATTCTATGATACTATGATAACCTTTTTCTGTCACTACTGAAGTTGTATTTTCATGTCCCAGATTTCCGATCTGTAAAAACCATTACCTATAAACCTATCTAAAAGTTATTAGATAGATATTAAAAAAAGTTTTTCTAAAACTACCCCATGAAATGGAATCTGGGAGATCACATCAATGCACCTGTATATAGGAGTCCCTGTAGGAATGGTGACAATGAACAAGCATTACAACAGTTACATGACTCTCGTGAAAAGTGCATTCAACACTCAAGTCACAAACTGCAAGAGGCATAACAGATGACAGAGCTGTATAATGGCCCACTGAAGCCTATATTGTATGTAAAGCACAGAATCTTAAAGCAATTTAAGAATTTATGGATTTGTAGTGTGGGATTATTCATGTCTTTATATAATAAACATCAGAGAATCACTGGTAAAAAATGGGCTGCTGAATAACACTATTTCCAGTGCGTGAAGAATTAAAATATTCAGGATTTCCTGAGGTTAGTCTGTTCGCCACACATTTACAAGCAATTATGCTTAATGGAAAGGACAATTAAGGGTCTCCCAGAGCAGAACAGTAACAAAAAATACATGTTTTGAAATGAAAATCCATCCTAATTCTTTGGCATTATAGTGGACAAACTGCCGTAGGAAATGCACTGTGATGAATACTGTGATTAGGTAACTACTAAGCAAGATAACATGTCAGTTTCACTGGGGAAGATGGCTTTTCTAGTGCATTAGTTGGGGGTCCCAAAAATACTCTTACATTCTCCTGTACACAAGTGGATTTTATCTTTCACTCGCTGTGAAAGACATCATTTGGATTTTGGTTACATGGAGAATCCTACCCTTTAGATTATTCACTACATGAACATAGTTTTTCTAAACTCTCATTATTTCTTGCGGCTTCCCAGCTGACATGAATTTCACACCATGCTGGGAAACCTAGGTCTTAAATCCTGGGCAGTACAAATTTTTTGAAAAAAGTCCACTGCCTTTTAGCTTTAGTTTAGTTGATAGAAATCATTAGAACCCTAGATTCTATATAATTTTGGTCACTTTTGGTACAGAGAATTCCATTCACTGATTCTGCAGGTCAAACTATAATATTCCTATATTGTTTCTTTAACAGGAGATGCCTATTTAAGATGCAATTTACCTAATCCCTTGAAAACTATATCTTAAAAATATTTAAGCACATTCTGGTAATTGATACGATTTAATAAAGGTTTGTGTCTGTTACCTTTAAAGACGATTTGGTCCGAGTTTCTGTTTTCTGCCTGGTAAGCTTGTTTTGAAGAAGTAATGACTGATCTGTACGAGCATCATAATTTCCATGTTCTGAATCATCTGTGTATGTGTCTTTTTCCTTTCCTATGCCTGAAGAAAAAACAAAAGAAAACAGTGGACTCATTTTAGGTTACAGAAGAGAGAAACTAACGGCATTGTTAGAGCCAGAGTTGAATATTCATTTTAGTTATCCAAATTTTAATAACTTTTAGTCTACCCCTTCTTGCAAAAGTTTTTTTACTTGAAATGTCATCATCTCTGTCTTAAGCTAGAAGTGACTTCTCTTTTTAGTAGAAGGCCTATAGAAACATTTCTATTACCATACAAATTGAAAAAGCCCACAACATTCTTCACAGCACCTAAAAAACAACCCTAACACAATATAAAGCAAATATTCAAACGTTTTTGTGCTTGACTTAGACTTGTCCAGACTCAGAACATGTTGTCAAATAGGAAGGTGCATCTTGCAGACCTGAGTAACCTCCCATGCTTTAAATTTAAACAAGCAATCAAAATGCCTGATGGGCCTACACTCATGCTGCTCATACTTGGACACAGTATTTGAAAATTTGCATATTAAGGTGACCACTCGAGAACATATTTTAAGAGGTGTCCCTATCAGTGATAGAAGACAGTTAACACCATGAAGAAAGTGTTTACATTGGATTTTTAATTGCTCAACAAAAGTTTCTATTGAAACTTGAGTACCCAAAGAGAGCTGCAGATGACTGAGGACCATCCTCAAAGCTTACAAAGATTCACTCTCACTGACTAAATTTCCACCTGAATCACCACTGCAGGCAAGTTAGAAGGACATAAGTCTCTGAGTCACTCTACAGCCTCTTTCAGAAGGGAGACATTTTTCAGATATGTAATTTCCTTGCACATTCTCCATCAAAAAATTATGACAATACTTACCATACATACCCAGCAGGGGTAAAATGAGGGGTAATGTCTATGCAGCATTTGACCATGTAAGTTATAATGAATGTTGGAAAATGGTTAGTCTTGAAAAAATATTTTAAAGATGAAAAAGATGGAATAATTATTCCCACACAATTATATCTTGGACAAGTTGAAAATAAATATTCAGACAAAAAAGTTATCCACAAATACTGACTTAAGTTCCCATCTCAGCTTTCACATCAACATGGGAAAAGTCAGGGGGACTGGGAACAGCATTTAGCCCAATTATTCTAAATACTAAACAGATGCCAAGAAACAAGTCATGGTTGCTGTGGGAACCACAATCTTGAGCTTCCCAAATTTTATATTCATAAAAGCTCATCTGCAACAACAAAGTATTTTTCAATTAGCTGTTCAGTTAAATTCTCCACAGTAAGTACTACAGAAAAGAAACCCCAAACAACAATTATCTCACATAGCCTAAATATTTCTGAGATGGAACATTACACCGGAACATTTACCAAGGGCTGTTCTTTCTGAAATTGAGCTACTTGCATAATGGTTACACAAAATGAGGCCCTGGCAATTTGTGATTTTTATATTAACCTCAGTACATCTGTGAAGGGATTTCTTTATATATGAAATAGCCTGTTTTAATCGTCAGAGCACCAAACTCGGGGATTTTATTTTAAGCAATGTTTTAATCTTAGTATACAGGCTACTCTCTGGTCCACAGAAATTAATTCAGTAAAATGACTGTGAAGTAGGTTTCAAGTAGGAGGTATACAAAGTAGAAAACAGGATACTTAAGCAAGATTTTACTCATGGCCAGATGTGATGAGCTCTCAGCTTTAGTAAAGATCAAGCTTTGCAAAAATATCTAATGTTTTTTCAACTTCTTAAAGCCATGAAACAAGCTTTCCCTTAGAAGTCAACATATTTTTACCTGCTAATCTTTTTTTATGTTTTCAAGGACACAGCTTTGAAGTGTAGCATGTATTTTCCATTAAAAAAAAATAAATACCACCTTTTACCTAGAGATACCTGCTATCTCTGCTTGAAATGTAGCACAAAAGGGTTTTAGCAACAAAGAACCCCATAAAAATACATTTAGAATTAAAGAGATGCATTTCTTACATAAAATTGAACAACACTTCTTACTATATCTCTGAGCAGCTGATGACTTATTCTATGCACCTAAAGCAATGTCCCCAAAAGTAAAAAAAGGAGGAAAGAAGGAATGAAGATTAAAACATAGCATTTAAACAGCACTTGAATCAACATTTGTTATACATGTCTGGGAGACACATCACCTAATCCATATTTTAGAATTATCTTAAAAATGTTCATTTTTCTTAACATTCATGTAGTCTGAGACATTAACGTTAACAGGACACCTAAAGTGTGCTTTGTAGATACTTTGAATAGACTAGCTGTGGAGTTTTTACTGATACATGGTTTGGAGAGCGGGGGCATGAAAAGCACTAACGACCTGTGGGCCAGTAACAAAAGCAAGGTGTAAGCAATAGCCAGGCAACCAATCATAGGCAAGGTCGTTGTGCCGGCTGGAAAGTCCCTAATTACAATAACAAGGTGTAAAAGAGGCTCTAAATTGCTGAAGTTAACCACAAAAGGCGCGGCGCCGACGGTTAGCAATTAACCAATAATGAGCTCATTATAGACGCTATATAACCTGTAACCCAACGCTCAATAAACGAGACTAGTTGCATTAGAGGATGGGCTCGTCTCCCGTCGTTTTTCCACAACTAGCGCCATTTACCTCTTCTGCAGCATATATTTTAGAAAAACCTGTAACATAAATAATTATGCTCAAGGTAAAAATTCAGTGGATTACAACATACCTCTATACCAGAAGAGGTTAGAAAGAACAATTGTAAAGTGTGTGTTTTAGCTGGCTCATTTTGTTTCTTAAGCTGAACTTTTTTGAAGTTTCTTTTGATTAGTTTTAAAGTTTTTAAAGAACAGAGAATTAAACAAGTTGGGTTTAGAAAAAAGCAGAAATGAAGCTTTGCCACCAACAGCATTGACTATGGATTTGTATTTTTCTATGATGGGGTGCTTTTCCTGTAATAATGTATCCACCACTTTTATTAAAAAAGAAAGTCTCTCTTCCTTAATTTTCTCACCCATCAAGCCAAAATTACATACTGATAAACTTACAGAACCTAAATTAACTTGAGCTGATTGTTCCTAGCATCACCAAAGCTTATCACAAGACAGTGATTTAACTCAAGTCTTTCTTCAGTAACTGCAGTTTCTAAACTTGTGTTAACATTTTTACATATTTGTCTACAAAGTAACACTATTTTCTGCCATCACTTCCTCCACAATCTCCATTAGTTGGCTTTGCAATTTAACTGCCAGTTTGCTGATGTATTTGAGTTATTAAGTTATGTTAATTAAAAATTGTGGCAGTTGAGAGCTTTTTGAAGTGTTGTCACATAAAAACTTTTATTTAAAAAAATCATTAAAGGCTGTATTCTAAATAAAGATGAGGATATTAAATCAGAGAAAAGGACTACAGCTTCTAATTCCTGAGGCAGAGACTAAATCATATTTCAGAGAAGACAATGCAAACTATTCAGTAAGTCAAGGACTTCTCTTTAACTGGGTACGTACTTAAAGCAGATTCACTCATATATATATATATAATTGTGAGCACAGCTGAACATGTAACTAAGTGATGCGTATCCTCACCTTGTATTTACGCTCAAGTATAAAGTAATTTTAAAAAGGTTCAAGCATTAAGCAAGCAGATCTCTCCATCCCAGTAGTTGCTTTGTTTTGCTATCTTGTAACATGGAGACACGGTGAGTGACTTCAGCCTTCATACATCACAAAACCTATCTACACTTGCTGACATACAATTTTGCTATGCTTGATACACAACATTAAGATTTGCCCCAAGGGCACTTGTACAATAAAATGTAGTAGAAACTTTCAGCTCTGGGAGTCTTTTACCTCACTATGCAGAACCATTTGTTTAAATATTGATTTCTAGGTCCACACTTCACGTTTCTATTTTGGGGTCTTAAATGCTTGCCTACCATTCTTTCCATCATACTTGCCTAAAGGGCCAAGAGTGCATTTTATTTATAACAGTTAGAGGAAAAAAACACCCATAACATGCAATCCACCGATACATTTCAGATAACTGGAACAAAAAAGCAAGTATTCCTCAAATGCAATGTGTCATACTTAGGGAAAATTAATATTAAGATTACTCCTAAATAGTGTCTGTTTCACAAACAGTGATATGATGATGCCTGACTCACTTCTTTAAGGCTTTACACATTTGCAGATGGGCCTTGAAAAGCTTTCGTAAGAAGAGATTATCAGTCAATAAATTAATCCCCTTTTGTCCTAATTTTAGTTCTAGAAACAACAAATAACCTGGAGAAGGATATCACTGGACACCTGGATAAGTAGCATTGTGATGGATTTACATCTTATTTTATTTTGCTGTGTACCTGGAATACTATATTATATACATAACATGAAAGGTTTTTCAGTTACCTAAGTATGTGTGTCTAGATATCAAAAAACTACCATAACAGACAAGCACAGTTTTCTTAATGTACAGTTTCTCATGACCTTTCAGACAGTGATAACAATTACACAGAGTATTTCTAATTTTTTAAAAAGGGGAGTCAGGTATTACGGCTGTTTGGAGGAGTTAAGAGGTACAGAATCACAACAGGCAGATTAAATGCCTAAAGCACTTTGATATTTTGAATCTCAATATTAACTCCAAAGACTAATCCTTACTACGTTTTGCCAAGCACTATGTTGATAATAGATCACAGCTTCTCCAGCCATGCTGCCAGCTCTCCAGGCAGGAACAAGCTCTAACATGGAAGATGGACAATTCCCTCACAGATCAGGTATAGGAAAAACTGACCTAATGCAGCTTTCCAGCCATCTCACAACAGAACAGACGTGATAGCCCCTTACCTTTGCAGATATTGCCCAAGGAACACAAGCTTCTGAACAAATGATTCTAAAAGTCACAATGGAAATATCACATTTCTGTCAAAGCAGAAACTGAACCTGGCTTTCTGGAGTCATATCTTCTGTGATTTTTCAGTCCCTCCTTTCATGTCAATATAGTATGTATTGCATAGGTTATTCTGTCTATTTTGGTTTATTATAACATTACTTAA